TTGTTAGAACAGATAACAGTGTACGTCTTCAATGCATCTGTATATTCTGGGATGTCTGGTAGATGTCATTATTTGCTCCTGTCTGGGTAGATCAGTGTTAACAACATCTTATTCTTCTGCTCACAGTGTTGAAGACCAGCAGGTGAAAACCTTTACCTTGGACAGGACACAGCTTCACCTCACCTCTACTCTACCTACTGCCGTCTGATCCAAACAAAGGTAATTTATTAGGTACGCTTCTATTTTCCTCACACAATTATCTGGTTAAAACTGTAGTTAAAATCTGTTTTCATTTAACAACATATTTTATTTAGGAATAATAATAATCTTGGCTTTCATGTGGAGCCAGGGGAAGGCTTGTTGCTGCTACTTTTATGTCTGTTTAGATAATATAGATGTGAGCAACAACTGCCTGCAACTGTACTTTCCAGATCTGCTTTTATTTTCTGTGCCAAACGTCCGCACCACACTGACAAAACAGTGTTTAGATTGTTTTTGCTCTTACTGCAACTTTACAAAGAAGCTGATCTCACCACATTTAAATGGATTGAAGGAGACATTCAGTCAGCATTGTTATTATATAGACGGTTTATAGATGTTTTAGATGGCATCTATATATTTCGTTTTTCATTTCAGTTGTTGAATGGATGACTGTTTTGGTTCTTTTTGGTGGAACTATTGCTGCCTGTGTTGTCCAGCACCCTCTTGTAAAGATATTTCAGTCTTTTCCTGTTAAATTAAAGGTTAGGGTAAAAAAAAGCCAATTATACGTCAGAAACAATGAGTCAGTTTGGTACATAGATATTAAGATGAAGAGTCCAGCACCAGACTGGAGGACAAAGGAGATCTAGGGGAAATGAATCATGTCATGATGGCGGTTACCAGACCTGCTCTAGTCTCTGAGATATTAAAGGCATAATTTCGTCTTTTTAATTTGTAAGTAATTCTTCAAAATAATAAATACCCAGTGTCTTGTTGACCAAGATGTTGAAGAATGGTCGTAGCATTTGAAGACAGACAAAACCACTTGTTACACCTAACTGCTTGATGAAATTATCTCTAACTGCTCTCCACACGTCAAACTTAAAGTACAACTACAATATTATGTTTTATAGAAAGGACTGAAATACACAGTACTTTTGTAGTGGCTGCTCTCATGCCCAGTAAGGTTAGGGTCGGCCACAGAGAACACAGACAACACAGAGGATTACATCATTTCTACACACATGCTCAGAAACCACTGTGTTGATTTTTAACAATAATCCTCTTAGATTTTAGCAAGTTCATCAGTTCTTGTGCAGGCGTCTACTGTGCATACCAGCCAGGTTCCCCCCCAGGAACATTTTAATCCAAGTCCCTGCAGAAACTTGCAGAAGGGGCTGTCAAGACAGTCTCAGGAAGACACTGACATGTCTTTCATTCCTCTCTGCACATCGTCTGGACGATGTAGCTACAGACTGCAACATGCCCGCCACCACTACCACCACCACCACCATCATCATCATCATCCACCCATCCATTCATCCACCCTGCCTTCACCTCCTCTCCCCTACTGCCTTAAAGGAAGAACCAGAGTAATGAGGGTGTCCGAGAAACCCACCGGGATCGGAAAGAGGTGTGTCCGTTAGGAAAAAATGGAAGCATGGATCATGAATCCAGTCAGTCCATCCATCTGCTCTTTCAGGCCTGTCTTTTTTTTTTTAACTGTATATAGTGAACTGGTTTAATTCATTAGATTATTAGGTTTATTAGACAGTGACACACCAACACTGTGGATCAGATCCACTGTCCACCGACCTCGGGTGGATTAACACAGGAGCCCATATGTGTCAGATAATCAGTGTGTCTACTTCAACACGCACAGGGCTGCGTGGCAGTGGAGACGCGCTCTCCGTGCACTCACATGAAAAATGGGCTTGGCATTTGCGCACAGAGAGCCGCATCATTCCAATCCACTCGATCACCGTCACAATATACCGTCAAAAATACCGACGTTAGGACAGAATGGTGATGGATTTGACCAAAATTGTGCAGTTTTCTATGCATCGGGAGGTGCCTTGTTTGAATGTGGGACAATAAAGGGGCCCGTTTGTGTTACACTGATGCACTACACAACCACCCAGGCCCTTCAGTGCACGAAAGAAGCGAAGGATCCAGAAAAAACGGGAAGGGAGGGAAACGCAACCAATTTTCACTTGCACACACACACACACACACGTAACCAAAATAAGCTCAAATCGAGCGACACAAAGACAATCTGGCACCGTTATGTCACCAAACTGCATGACACTCTTGTCCCTATGACATCCTCCTATAATGAGATTATGAATATTCTGAGGGATTAGTGCGTTAACAGGACGGTAATAACCGAGAAGCTGGAGCGAAAACAAGACCTGCTCTGAAGGAGCAGCAGCAGCAGAGGAGGAGGAGGAGGATGGAGACGTTTCTATCAATTCTAGGCGGATAATGTGAAGAAAACTGAGTCAGATATGGCATTTGTTGGGTGGAGAGACTGGTGGAAGTGCTGCTGCTGCTGCAACACTAACACGTTGTGTGTGAGAAAATGAAAATAAGATGGTTGTGGATTTGGAAAAACGCGTAAAAGGAGCGTGTTTAGACTGAAAAGATAATATTTCTCTAATTTTCTACAGCAGACAGACAGACAGACAGGGAAAGGAGAGAGAAAGGGAGGGAGAGAGAGAGAGAGAGAGAGAGAGGCCCAGCCAGTGCCAGCCCGTGCAAATATAAATACATATATGTATGTGTTGATATGAGGCGAATGCCGATGCAGGATCGAGCGACGCGGCGTTTGTGTTTTTCAGTCTCTTCCTCGTCTGCGCCTCCGTGTCTCTGCACCCGTGTTTGTGTGATGAGGTGGAATTCAAGAGAAAACCGTGCCTTTTTCTTTTTCTTACCTGTGTGCAGACGGCGGTGTTGTCTCTTCAGCAGCGGTAGTCACCGGGCGCACAACAGCGTCTTGGTTGCAGTTGCGGCGACGGGCCGGAGCGCGGCGCTGCGTAACGCACAGAGGAGGACGGAGAAGTGGGGCGGTCCTCAAATACGACCTGTGTGATGTAAATGTACAGCAGTCACAACAGCAGCAGGGCAGCAGTAATTAAAAAAAAAACAATTCCATCGTTAATATATATATATATAATATAAATAAAAACAAACTCAACCCAACTTTTATTTGAAAAACACTTAATAAATAGTGCCAAGGTGGCACACAGTTGTCTCAATGATAGACAGACAGATAGACAGACAGACAGATTACATTAATCTCAGCCCCAAAATTTTAAGGAAACAAAAAAACATAAACATTAAATAAAATATAATTAAAAGCCACTGCCAATTTATTTTCAAAATGTTATTGCTTGGACATGCACAGGAAAGACGGACAAAGTGATTGAAATGCTAATGTATGCGAATCTATGACAACTGTACAAAGACCATAATAGGAATAATATAAAACATATAAGGGCAGAAACACAGACTGACTGCAGTGGTTTCATAGATTTGATTGGTCACATAAGTCTTGTCAGGTCATGGTTACAGATATTTATTGAAGCTCACAAAACCTTTGATTTTATATTGAATATTTTTCATTGCCAGATATATTTAAATCTTGTGGTGCAACAGTTAGTCGAAAACGTGCAGTGATAGTCATAGATCCAGGCTGAACAGAAGCTACCATAGCAGACGATGTGTAGTCTGCACACAAAGGTCAGGCTTTGGCACATAAAACACTGGAGGTCAGGGAGACCAAACAGTGCCTCCTTGTGTCTCTTCTCT